CACTGTGTTTCTTCAAGTTAGAAATAAAAAGCAATACAGCAACGCTATAAAGCATCTGATAGGTTCCCATGAAAATTGAGGACTAATTTAAGGATTATTGTTTTTAATCTCTTAAAGATCAGACTGTTAGAGGGATGTTTTAAGGGATAGTTTCATCACACGGAATAAAGAGTTAAAACACCAGCATGTATTACAGGTAATTCTGGAAGTAAATGCATGTGAAAAGAGACAGAGCTTGAGGAGTGGCTACATGCCAGGAGTGGAAATGTACTGCTGCAAAGATGAAGAAACCTGACAACTAGTTCTTAAGACAAGTATTTCTCAAACCTGAGGCATCATTGCTTTGACATCTTCCTCAAAGGTTTGGAAGCATTCAGAGGCACAAGAGGAAAGTGGAGGCACAGGAAGACTAGGGATAAAAGGACAGAGAAGACACGGGGAAGACATGAAGGATAACATGGGATAAAAGGATAGGGAAGGGACATAACATAATAAGTGATAAACAGGCATTTAGTCATGGATTTTGAATTACTTTAGGGAGTATTTCCCCATAGAGTCCAAAGTCTAGTGAGGTAAAAAAGAAAACTGTGGATCAAAGTTTTTCAAGTGCTTTAAGTGTTTGTCTTCCCTCTATGCAGATAGGTAGAAGATCAATCCAGTTTAATACTATTAAGCATCACTATCGCATGACAAAAACGACCTTCAGTATCACTGCTAAAACCAATGACAGTAATATTTATCTTCCCATGCAGGAATGAGCAATGACTTCATAATGCTTAATTTGAAATCTGTGAACATCAGCAGACTTGAGATGGGTCCCCTGAAGTGAAGCAAATTGAACATTCTAGCGATGTAAATCTAAACATCGGCACTGAAGGAGATTTAAAGAGCACACAGTACTGAAGGACAAGCCACTCCCTGGGAGCTGCACCAGACGTAAAAATGACTTTCAATTTATATGAATGATCATTACATCACCTAACAATAAAAATAATAAAACAGTGAACATCTATGTGCTTAAACAGTAAATTCAAATTTATTCTAATTAACATGAACATGCACAAAATTAATTCCTCCAAACCTGGTTAGATGAGAGTGCTGGCAGCCCACTCTTCTGTCAATCTACTGTTCTGTTGTTATTGGAAAGACTCTGACATGCCAACCCATGTGCAACATAGTTCTCAGGCCAAGGCAGGGACATACTGTAGATATGGGCAGAGTGATCTTGATAAGTTAGCATAAACTTACACTTTCTTGCAAAAAGTCTAGAATGTCCTGTCAATTTTCAGTTACATAACCCCCTCATTGCAAAAAACCTTTTCGAACCCCACCAATCTGGCTTCCGACAGCTTCACAGCACAGAAACTGCACTGGTCAAAGTCACTAATGACTCTATAGCTTCTGGTTCTCTTTCTGTCCTCATTCTTCTTGATCCCAGTGCTGCTTTCGACACTATGAACCGTGATATCTTACTTTCTCGTCCTGAAACTGTTTTTGGAGTTTCTGACACTGCTCTCAAATGGTTCAAATCTTACCTTACACTCTCTCACTTTGTCTCTCTTGGCGGATAGAGGTCTGAAATGGGTCTCGTTAAATTTGGTGTGTCTCAGGGCTCAATACTAGGCCCCTTACTTTTCAGCATTTACATGTTTCCACTTGGTCAGCTTTTAAGATCAAATGGCCTCAACTACCATTTCTATGCTGATGAAACTGAAATATACATCCATACCAAACCTGACACTGATGTGGCTGTCTCTATTCTATCTTATTTAATCTCTGACATAAAAACTTGGATGTCTCAAAATGTCCTTCATCTTAACTTTGACAAGACTGAAGTCATGCTTATTGGCACCCCCCAATACCCCCCATCAACTTTGTAAAGCCAGTCCTGTAACCCTGTCTGTGGATGGCACTGTGCTTGAGCTTCAGTCTAAATTGAAAAACATTGGTGTGATATTTCAGGCTTGACATAGCCTTTACTTAACTGGTTCCGTTCTTTACCCCTCTGCTCCTACTGTATTTAGTACCACCATCTACACATTCTCATCGTGTTTATCTTGTGTATTTCTTATTGTTGTTGTTTTTATAATTGTTGTTGTTGCAGTGGTCTTTATGTGTCCAGTTCTGTCTACATTTTATTATCTGAACTGGTGTTGTTGGTCTAGTTGCACTATCAATTGGAGTATTCTCGGTGTGGTGACCAGTTTGATCTGAAAGAGGTGGCGACTCTTTCCATTTTTTTCCATTTATCGACCCCAACTTGTTCGGTATTCAGTGGGAGACACGCTTCCTGTTTATCCATGTGATGAGCAATGTGGCATGAGAAAACCTTATTATCAGTAATCATAATTTATTAAAGTGGATCGCACTTAGTCTGGCCTCTACTCGTCGACCTTTTGACGTGGGTGACCCTACCAGGAGACTATGCTTCCCCTGGTATAGCTCCATTACTATTATTATTATTATTATTATTATTATTTTCTCAAATAGTAAATATTTTATTTGTTTGTAGTCCATTTCTGCAGTTCATTGGGTTGGATTACCATGTTCTACTGTTATTAAATATCTTGCATATTTGCAAAGTCTGTAAACAAAGTCTGTGACCATGGTGGACAGTACTGAACAGGACTGACTCTGGAATCAGGTACTCTGCACACAGTATTGAACCAGACGGACTCTGAAATCAAGCACTCGGCACATGGTGTTGAACCAGTCAGACTCTGGAATCAGACATTCTGCCCACAATATTGAACCAGAATGACTCTTGAAATAGGCTCTCTGCACAGTATTGAACCAGTCTGACTCTTGAATCAGGAACTCTGCTTACAGTATTGAATAAAACTAAACATTTTTATAGAATACTGTAGGTCTTTCATTTGTAAAAAATCTTATGTCCATATGATACGTGAAGTCAGACACTTGAGCTGTTGTTTCTTAATGACCATTTGCTGTCAGTGGCTCTGTGTTTTTACTGTGTGTAGAGTGCAGTGAGCCTGCTGTGATAGCAGTGATCTCACAACAGGTGCAGCGCATTGCTAATGTAGCTCTTCACTCAGTGCATCATTCACAGAGAGACCACATGCTGCCCTGCACTAGTGCAGCAGTTGTTATTCTGGGCAGCTTGCGCACACTCCTCCTGTTCTTATTGAAAGGGCATGCGTGCCTAATAGAAAAAGCACGCTGCAGCCAGGGTGCCAGCTAAGCCTTTAGGTTTCCCTGTGTGGGCATCAAAGAGGGCTTGAACAGCACTGCCTGCAAAGAGGAGGATTCTTAAAGACTCCTTTTTTACAACTAGAGATCTGCGATTCTGTGATTGAAAAATATTGCTCTTCTGATACAAACCATCAGTTGTGTTGTACTTCACAGTGGCCCTTTTTTTCTGTTGGGATTATGGTGTCTTCAGAGAGCATTTCCTCTATCTTTTTCAACTATACTTTCTCCCTCTCTCTTTCTCTGTGAGCCCTGTTTCAGGGAAGAAAGTTGTCCACAGAACTAGAGATGATAGAAGATGTCAGTTTACTACAGGGAGAAGCTTTGCAGAGTAACCTGCTGATTACATTAAGACCGCAGGAACAGAATGTCATGTCATTGCTCTTGAGCCACATTAAGAATAGAAAATGATGTCAGAATTGGAATGACAGGGCTCCGGAGCCCCTGGAGGGAGGAGGGGTGATGTGCTGGTTCTGCAAGCAAACACTCACTCTGTCTGCACTTATTCAGAAAGCTGACGGAGGAGGATGGGGTTGATGGGGGTGGAGAACTGTACATTAAAGCAGCATTGTAATTCTGAGTGGCATTTTGGCTGTCGTTAATGTAGGTAATGTAGGATGTACCATTATTCTTCTAATTATCTACTCCTCTGACTATGCCTTTTCTGTGCTATTGTCATGGTGAGCACAAACACAAAGATGTGAATGTGTCTGGAACAAAAATACACAGCCGTGCAGCTCAAATGGACTTCAACTGAGAATTTAATTCAGTCCTGAGGGATTAATTAGTCACTGAGTAACTAAATGAGCAAGGCAGGATGAAAATTGTTTTCCTCATCTGTAACTCTTTTTATATCCTTAAATTTTAGGGTGGATAACACTCTGTGCACCTTCTAATTCATAAGCCTCAACTCAGGCTGTATGGACCTCAGCCAGCTGAAGGGGATTCGGCTTCATTCAGAGTGTCTGTGTTCTCCCAGCTGTCTGCTCAGATGGGTACAGCCTGCACTGCAATGAGCCTTGGCTCTGCTACCCATGCAGGCTTTGGTCTGGCTCACATTGTACAGTTCAGTGGCCTGATATCTTCAAAGACTACGGCATTTGTCTGACTGCTTATTTTTCTCTCTTGTAAAGGTCTACCTGGGTAAGAAACCTCAGTACTTTCACAGTTGTCCAAAGTCCACGTCAGCAGATGTACGAGCTGAGAGGAAGATTCGAATGAGGACAGGCTGCTCAGAACTGAACTTTCCCTGAAAATACAAGTTCTGTTCATAACATTTGAAGGCCTATTTATTCCTAACATGATGAGTGTACAATAGTCCCCGGAGTCTGTTTTCTTCAGTGTTGGGAAAGAAGGAAAGTGACTAACTTCATAGTCTTGAGTTGTGCTCCTAATGCAATAGAGCCAGAAGCAGGTTTTGCTAAGCATTTTTACTGGGACTGGCAGGTACTGCTCAATCTGCTCGAAAGAGCACTGATTCACAGACACCAGTTAATCCGAACATCCAATCTTCCATCCATCCATTTTCGAATGGAATCTTATCCATTACAGGGTTGCGGGGGCAGCCGGATCCTATCCTGGCAAGCAACAGGAGCAAGGCAGGATATACCCTGGACAGGATGTCCGTCCACCACAGGGCACACCGACACAAACAGACACACACATCCACCAGGACAATTAACCTACCAGAATGTTCCTGGATTCTGTAAGAAAACTAAGCCCTGCTAACCCCTGCGTCACCAGGCCATAATCTAAACCCTCTAGGCACCATAATCTTGATAAAATTGGCATGAGAGAAAATAATCCATTTATTGGTGCAGTTTATTGGGTATGTATTTACATGTTTTAAAGCAGCAGGAAAGTATTGAGTTAACAGAAATAATGACTGAATCCTTTATATATATATGTGGGAAATCCTGTCCTTTTCCTGTGCTTGCCTGTTTTTTTTATCATTCACCGTGCATACAATCACTAGACTATGGGGAGATACTGGATTTTACAACAGAAAGAATTTCCAATTGTCCTAATGGAAAGAGGCTATGAGAAACTACGTTATGCTCACTGTCTTGTGCAATTACCCTAAATGAAACATGGTTCAATCAGAAGAAAAAATACTGAAAGCACATTATGTGAGTTTACCAAATTGAATACTGTACTGGAAAAAAACAGTTTTCCATTCAAATTTACCATAGTTACCTTTCTTAATTTGAGTTTCCAAAAAAGGCTGTAAGGAAGTAAACAGAGTTCACAAGCAGCTGTGAGAGACCCTGCTTGAATCTCCCACTCTCCTTACAGCTGCATTGTGCTACAGGCCCTATTCTACCCTGTACAATAAGTTTTTCCTTTCACTACCACTTACTGCATGAGAGCAGCAGTATGTAGGCAGGAAATAGGTCTGTGCCATGTCAGTCACGATTACTCTCAAGTCATTGTGCTGTAGAGAGAATCATTTCTAAATGCTTCTGTACAGGACCCTGTGGCAATATATTTCCAGAACCACACGCCTCCCCAGAAAACTGAGGCCCAGGTGCGAGAACAGCAAAGGTGAGTGATATTACAGCCAAAAGGGCTTTTTTTGTGGAGAATAAATGCAGGTTATTCTCAGGGCAGAATTAACTGTTAGTGAGGGGAACTGTAAATGAAACCTGGTTGTGCAAGAATACCTGCGCAAGAATGTACGTCCTGTACGTGATGTGTAAGAAACACACCGGGGAATCAGTTTGTACTGACCCCACACCACTCAGACAAGTGAAACGACAGCACTAGTAATTCACACGACTTGCGACAGCTGTGTTCTCAGAATTGGACATGGTTTATATTCAGGTACATGTACATTCTCAACCTGCCTCTGTGCTCACAGTTTAGAGGACCGAACAGTTCAGTTTCGCAGCCTCTCCTTCACAGCTGCTGCTCATCCCGTTTCTCTCTCTCTCTCTCTCTCTCTCTCTCACTCCGGGTATCTCAGGGACCAACGGCAGCCTAATTTAGGCTGCTTTCCAATTGGCATGAAATGTGAAATACCACTTGTACTTACAAAACAATCATAAAAATACAAAAAACGAGAAATCAATACATAAATTAACAAACGAAAGATTGCTTTGATAAAAAAATAACAAACACGGTATAGTCGAAGATGCTTTTTGCTTGTTGTTTCCTGCTAAGAACAGTTCACAATAATAATCAGACAATCAGCTGTACAAGGTCGGGATGTATTGAGTGAAGATGAAGCGGCATTATTGAGAATTCAGTGACTGTCTTTGGATCGTTGATGGCCAGGTGTGCTGACACTTCTTTGAGGAGCTGAACCCAATAATGTGGATAATTCATGAGCCGATTATTAATTAACTCCCTCTGGCATACGTGAGTGACCTGGGCTGGCTGGTCAGCAGCGGTCGCAATGGGGGCGGGCGTGGTCGGTGGCTCTAGCCTTCGGAGAGCGTGTGCCACTTGGCGATCTGTCTCCGAGGGTGGTCGCAGATCTCGCGCCAGTGCTCGCCCACTGTCCCCTCGGCGTTGGCGCCCAGCAGCAGCCGGCCGATCACCTGGTTGCGGGCCAGCCGGTCGGAGTCGAGCAGGAGGAGCTCCACGCTGGTGTCGCCGAGCCCCGTCTCCGGGGGGATGTCGAACACGAAGAGCTCGTTGAAGACGGGGTTGGGGGAGCTCTTCTTCACGTGGGTCTTCTTCTTGCACACCCGCTTCCTGCCCTGGTAGAGGTTCACCTTGACGTACGGGTCTGTGGGGGAGGGCAGAGGGGGCGTCAGTCATGGATCAGAGGAAGAAACCACACCAGATGCGCTTTTACCAGTCACATGCGCTTGTTCTACTGATACCGATGGATCGCGAAAGCACAGTATTGAATTTTAACCTCCTATGCCTGTCAATACTAATGTATTCAAATGAAGGCAGGGTGCTTGAGCTCAGCAGCACCTGATACCGGCTGATACTCAATGCTCTGCTGCTTGTAAAGCTTGGAATGATTCCACTCGCTGTGCAATGCAGTCTGAGCAGTTTCCCTGCTGATTGATTGGCAGGGCATCACATGTTCAATAACCCCCCTCAGGAGGAGAGAGAATGATAAATAATGAGACAATCTTTGTACTCCAGGCCTGCACTTCCCCCATGGTCTTGAATACAGTCAGGCAGTGACTGTGCCCTGGGGCAGCAGAGCTTGCCGATCGTGCCCCTGGCTCAGCTCTTTCTTTATGAATCGCACTGCTTCCTGGGCCCTGCTGTGCTAGGAAATTATGTGCAGTTTTCCATTGTCAGTGCCAGGGCTCTCTGCCCTTAGTCTCTGCTTTCAAGAAGAGGGGAGAGTACAGATACTGTGTTTAGATTCCGAATTCACTAGTCTGTGACGCCACCTGACAGCTGGTATGAAAATAATTATGAATAACTGTTCTAGCCTCTCACTGATTTTCTTTTTTTATTGAAATGATCTATACAAAAAGTAAATTCATCCAATACTGTCTTAAATAATTGATCATCTGTTGTATGGTTCTTCAATAACAAAGAAAAAAGCATACAGTAGTCTCACTGCTTGTTATAGTGTTGCTACAGGCCTTTCTAGCTGGCCGTCTTATCTACAGGCAAGGATGGAACTGAGCAAGAGAGGTGGAAATCATTAACACAGAGCCCTGAGACCCTGCAGAGTGAAGGTGAACACTAACTCTAAATACTAAAGAAAGGAACCGTATCTTCTTTTAAATTCAAATCTACAAAAGATGCCTTTGAGAGGAATTAATTTACTGGAGTTCTTTGGTAGCCTGAATTTATCTGATATTTTTTGCCTCAGTCTGTACAGGTGAGGCGGAACAGCTGTATAGCTCCTACATCTTCTAATGGAAGGTTCCAGGTTCTTGAAATTGCTATATAACTATATCATTTATTCTGCATTTCCTCTAGAGAATCTGCTGCTCTTCCTGGTTTACTGCAGCACACCCTGACCTTGGCAAAGCGACATGCACACTCCTGACCCAGATCTACGCAAGAAAACAGCTGAGTCTGAGCACTGTGTCAAAATACTGAAAAGAAGGGTGGACCAGCCACTCTGGCACATGAAGGCCAGACATTTGTCTCGATAACCATGAATGCAGAAATGAGCAGCCTGAACCACTGAAACAATAAATCTTCTTCCTACCACAGACATATCATATAAATCAGAAATTTTGCTATTGTTTGACAAAGATGGTTAAAGTACGTCTCTGAGGTCTGGTTCTGTAGGGTTTTCTGATCTTCAGTCCACCTGGGTGCTTTCACCTAGTTTTATTTACTGTCTCAACTGTGGTCATTTCCCCCTTTCCTTGCCTCCCAGCTGTTGATGGTTTAAAAGGCAGAAGGCCTCGAGGGACCCCATATCCTGAGCTGTACCTGAAAGGCTGGAGGCTTCAGTCTTGGGCAGGTGGCGTGCCTTCAGCACCACAACGGTCAGAGTGCTGGTGGTCGACTGGTAGCACAGAGACAGCAGGAGCTCCCCTCTGCCCACACACCTCTGCAGAGACACAGAGAGAGGGAATGAAAACCAGAGCTCATCACCTTCGATACCAGTATTGCTCATGTCTATGTGCAGTGTGATATTGCTGCCTTTCTCCAGAGCTATTTATCTTTTTCATTTCTTCACCAATCACTTCACGGAGAGTCTCCGAACATGTGTTCACCCTCGCTTATATTTTACCTTGATCCAACGTAAAAGAAAACAGAGGAGGAAAAGGTTGATTTCATTTTATAATTTCCATATTGCTGTCTGTTCTGAAATGGTTAGAAAAAAATATACACACAGCTGTAAAAAAAATCAAACACTTTACACTGTTCTTTTGATTTCTGTATTAGTCCTTCTTGAAACCAAAACATTCCTGTAATAATACTTTACTGTTGTAGTATCTGTTTTGTTTTAATCCAACAGTTGATCTTGATACGTATTTTGTAGTATACAAAATAGCCATTTAACTGTATGGACATATTGAAAAGAAGACCTGACAATGAGTCAATTAGATTTGATTGGTAAATGTGATGGATTAGCTACCACAGCCCTTCATATTGACTGCTCTTCTTTAGCTGACCTTGTGTTATGGATATCAGATTTTTAAAGGTTCAGATCAATGTGAATTGAAGATCACTTAATTCTGTTAGTTGTGTAATGCTTTTGCACAACTGTATACATATATGGCATCTTGAATAGCGAAATAGCGAATAAGGTACATACAGTATGAGAGTAGGCCATTCTGTCGATCTTTTCTATTTAGGAAATTGCAATTAAAAACGTCTCCAAGCAGAAAATAGCTTTAAAATTATTTGGTAATTGGTTCCAGGCACCCATGATTCATTCTGTAAAAAGGTGTGTTCTAATGTCATAGGTTCTATTTAATACTCTTTTAATATTTAATATTTATTACTCATTTAATATTCATTTAGTATTTAATACTCTGAATTCTCAGGTATTTGTTATGCTAAAATACATGCACTGGGATGATGTTTTCTTTGCATCTAAGGTTTCTGAATACTGAGACTTAAATAAACTGCAAAACCTCCTCTGCTTATCTTGTCTCTGTTTCATTACAGCGCACAAGCTCTGTTTCTGAAATGTGTTTGATCGCTGCGTGTTTTCTGTCCCTGTGTGACAGTGTTGTGTGGACTCCCCCTCCCTCCCGAGAATCGCTATTTACCCTGACGTTGCGTTTGATGATCTCGCGGGTCATGAGGACACGCCCCTCCGAGAGGTCAACCCCCGCCAGGGGCACCAGAGCCTCGCCGATGACGTCATCCCGCGAGAAGCGGTCGAAGCTCAACACCATGAAGTGCAGAGCCAGCTCGGGCACCCGGCTGTAGGGGATCCCGTAGAAGCTGAACGTCTCATCGAAGGCGGGATCGAGGGTCTTCCTCAGCACGCGGGTCTTCACCTTGTACTTCTTGTCAGGCAAGATGGTCATCTTGACGTAGGGGTCGGAGGTCAGAGACTGCTCGTCCATGGCGGACAGCCCGTGCGCCTCCTTGATGTTGACGATGAAGGCCTTCTTGTCGAAGTTGTACTCGAGCGAGAAGAAAAGGGTCCCCAGCCCCGCTTCTCGGTCGGGGGGCTTGTCCGCCGGCGTTAGCGCCTTGCTGGAGGGCACGCTCTCCGGGGAGGCTGGCTCCTTGCCTTCCTCTGGGAAGCAGCCATGCGGGGAGGGCATGTCCAGCTCGGGCGAGCTCCGCACACGGGGGTGCGGCTTGGCGAAGTTGCCGTTGAGGTCTCGCTTCTCCAGGTCCAGGTGGAGGGCGGTCTTGGCGCTGGCAGGGCTGGGCGTGGACTTGGCCAGCTCTGTTTTCTCATCAGCCCCGAACTTCTTCTTGTTGGTGAGGCTCTCAGGATAGATGTCCACCCCCTTCAGCATGTGCACAAACTTGTAGGGAGGAGTTTTGTTGGATTTAGCTGACTTGCGCTGGCAGCATATCCATGCGAACAGAGAGACGGTGAAGACCAGTCCAAAGGCACTGATGATTCCCACTGCGGCCGGGACCTCGGCTACAATACAGGAGAGAACAGACATGAGAAATCTGCACGGCTGCAGCTGCAAACTGGGACTACAGAGCCAGTGTGGCTTTCGAGTGCTCAAGAAACTGAGTTTAAGTGTCATTTTGTATGTTTGTGTGTGTAAGAATCGGCTTGTGTGTAAGCATCAGTTTGTGTGTGTGGAAGCACTGGGTTATGTGTGCGTGCAAGTGACAGTTTCTGTGTGCAAGCATAGGTTTGTGTGTGTGTGTGCAAGTATCTGTGCGTAAGCATCCATTCGTGCATGTGTAAGCGCTGGTTTGTGTACGTGTTTGTATGTGCAAGCATCAGTTTCTGTGTGTGTCTGTGTGTATTCCTGTGTGCACAATCTGTCTTGTTTTCCCCTATCATGACTTCAACTAGTATTAAGCCCTTTCTTAGAGAGGTTCATAAAAATGTTTGAATATTATTGTAAATTTTATTGATTTAAATTAATATTAATACATTGATTTGAGTTCTGTACCTCTTGTTTGTTGAGGTACAGAATGATACATGTCAGGTAACCTGAAACTGCGCCGTTCCCTGTTGCGCCCTGAATTTGAAAATCCGTATGAGATGGAGTATACTATGAAATGGCACTCTGAAGTGAAAATGATTCATCATTTGATTGTGTCCGTCTGTCTATATGTATCAGAAGATATTAACCATTTTCGTCAGCGCAGTGCGTGGTTCATGTTGCCTGCAGCTTGTGTTAATGCAGCTGAGAAATCAACACATCAGTAGAACACAACTGGTCTGAAACAGGTCCCCTGAGTCTTCTGTGTGTGTGTGTGTGTGTGTGTGTGTGTGTGTGTGTGTGTGTTTAACCCTTGTTTACACTCTTCCTCACTGATTCTATCTTTTCTGCTTTCCCCTATCAACTTCTATGTGTCTAGCCCTCACCACCCAGGCTGGGGCAGCAGCATTGTCAGACATCGTGATGTGCTACTCTGTCTTTCCACCCCCCTCACACACCTCCCCCTCCCAGAAGATTCTCTGCAGAAGCAGACAGTGTGTCCACTGGTCTAAGTAACACAGTAGGGCAGGAATCTACAGTGACTCAGAATTGCACAATCCTGGGGATTCAGCAGCCACACCAGAATCCACATCCTACTTGCTGCAGGTCTTTCCGTAACAGACAAAAAAACATCATTCTTTTATTCCAATCGTGCTTTCCAAGAGTAGAAAAGCGGCGAATGTTTCTACAAACCAAAATCGCAGCAAAACAAATCTACCAATTACCTTGGTTTTCATCCAAACACATGTCATCTGCCTATCTTTGTCCTCAGCATGAAATAACTGAATATGTCTCATTTACTTACGGGGGATTTCTTTTAATGACAAATACAGAAAATAAAGGCAATAGCTGATACGATTATTACGCCGTGAAAAATAAATATAAAAATGCTGGAATTTGCAATTAGAACTAAATTCAATGGTATTATTTTTCATTCAATGTGGCCTCTCTACAGACACAATGAAGCGATCCTTTTTCTTTCGCTGAAAACTGTTATTGTAAACTGCAATCTCTATCCAGACAGCCTGTTACGTTCCGTCGGAGGGCATAACGCGTGAAGAAAATCAAAGGTCTTACCGAACTGCGCTCCCTCTGCAATCACTGGCGCCATGACGCGTGGTGCTCTGTCCGAGGTGCTGAAAGCACACTCCTGTATTCCAGCGCTTGAGTGTACCCTCGACAGCTCCGGCTTTCACTGCGACTCAGCCCTCGAATGCCTGCCTTTCAGTTGAAAATTGATTCGTATTTTAATTTGTCGATCAAAAAGAAATGTGAAAATCTACATATAAAGGTACCGAAATGTTTTGTTATTATTCTTTTTTTAATAATATTAAAAACTCGGTGGTTTTTTTCCCCGTGCTCTTCCCGAAGCACTTCTGTCGTACTTTCTTTCACGGTCACTCGTTGAGCTCTGAGCGCCTCTGAGGCGTCGGCTCGGCTCTGTGCTCCCCACGGCTGCTCTGCTTCTGACGCAGTTCTGACGAAGCTGTGTGAAATCACCGCCTTTTCTCCAAGGAATGGCAGGGCAGGCTAACAGGCTCATCAATTATTGTAACCGCCTGCCTGCGGGAAGTTAATCCTTGCTGCATTTCACAGCAAAAATATATACATCATACCAGCCAGAGGAAAATTACTCTGAACTGGGCAAAGGAAAGAAATTCAAGACAAGAAGTACATGTCATTAGAAACATGTAAGTTAGAGCGTTTGTGCATGGGAAGGATAGGACAAAGACAGAGATTAAAGACAAGGCATCAATCCATCCTTACCTCCCATGACCCCAGGCTGATTTTACTGCCAAAAGCGTTCTCTGCTTTGGCTCAGCAGGCTGTCTCTGTTTCTGAGCTACAGCCAGAGACCCCACCCTTAAACTGTGCCCGATCATCACATCTATTCTCAGAGAAGCTAACATTTCTTAATTTGGATGCTGTTTCAACATTGGTGAATTAATATTAATTGATTAGCCTCTATGCAGAATTAAGCAGTCACAATCTCTATGGTCTTTCCTTTTTCATGCATTCCAGACCAGATACTCAGATTGCCTTGGCTGTTAGGAATTTGATAGTACCTCAGTTATTCCAATGCATGTGGATTCTGAAGCTCTGTTAATGAAGCAGAAAATGTATACACAGAAGCTCTCTGAAGCTGTTCATAGCCAAGTTTAAATTTATCTCTATCAACTTATCTGGGCATTTTCTTACTAATGGAAGTCCTGGTTACTCAAAGGGTAAGATGAGCCTTGCCTTCTCTGCTGTGATTGTCATCATGAGCTTTGAACCTCCCCCCATCCCCCCTCAACCTCACTCGCCCTCAGTCAGCCTCGTAGTGGAGACCACTGAAACACTACTCGCGCCTGTGCTGGTGAAGCAGGGTTTCAGTGCCTTGGTCGTGTGTTCACTGGATCTTCATCTTCACCTCTGTATACCGACTGTGAAAAGGGGGACATTTGTAGCATTACTCGAAATCTTCAGACATATACAGTATCAACAGTGAAAACCAGCCAGGAGAGGCAAATAGAACCTATGAGGAAATGCACAAAAACCTCAGAACAGAAATAACTTTGTTTGACATACAGGGCTATAGCAGTCCTGAGCCAAGTACCTAGACATGTTGTTGAACAACATACCCTGGATTATTTCAGGAAAAAGCTGGATGAGATTCATGGATTGATTAGCTAATACCTACCAAACAGGTGAATTGACTAAATGGCCTCCTTACATTTATAATGTTTATTCTTTAATATCTTGAGTATACATAATCTGTGTGTCACTGTGTAATAAATCGACAATGAGAGCTGCCCATAGCCAGCAGCCATATCACCATGCAACTTATAACTGGCAACCCACTGAAGCTCAGCAGGTGTGAGCCTGGTCAGTACCTGGATGGGAGACCTCCTGGGAAAAACTAAGGTTGCTGCTGGAGGATGTGTTAGTGGGGCCAGCATGGGGCAGTCACCTTGCAGTCTGTGTGGGTTCTAATGCCCCAGTATAGTGAGGGGGACACTATACTCTAGGTCCTGAGTCTCTGTGGTCATTAAAAATCCCAGGGCGTTTCTTGAAAAGAGTAGGGGCGTAACCCCGGCGTCCTGACCAAATTTCCCATTGGCCCTTACCAATCATGGCCTCCCCATCTATGAATCGACTTCATCACTCTGTTCTTCTCCTTATCATAGCTGAAGTGTACTAGTGCACTATGGCTGCTGTTGCATCATCCTGGGGTTGCACATTGGTGGTGGTACAGGGGAGTCTCCATTACCTGTAAAGAGCTATGCCTGGAGTGTCCAGAAAAGTACTATATAAGTGTCAGTAATGGTGGAGACACAGGAAGAAACACCTTAATGCTATCCGTTCTCATCTGATCTGGAACTCTAGCCTGCATTACAGCAGCTTCTCTCCAGGCCTGTGCTTTACAGAAAATGTGGGATAGATCTGTTTTATAAACATGAAAACTCAACATCTCTCTCAGACGCTTGGAGGAATTCAGTAGACAGAGAAAAACAGTTACGTCAGGTAATGAAATGCTTGAATGTTTTTTTTCAACAATGAAGATCGCATTAGCTTGCGTGAAGGGGGAATCAGGCTTTGTCATCTTGACCTCACACAGTGAGCCAGGCAGGTCTTCATGCTGAGGTCAAGAGCCAGTAGGGCAGAAAAGTAAATGACGGACACTAAAGGCTTCTTCAATCCTGGATCCTGGACACCCAGGAGGAACGTGTGCAGGGGGAGCTGAGACGCCTCCCACATTATTCATGATGATTTGCACGCAGTAGCCTGGGGGAGACTGCAAAAGAAACAGCGCACCAAACATAAATGTTTAAAAACCCACTGACATGCTCAACTTCAGCAGCTTCTGGATATGTGTTTGGCTGACAGTATTACCCTTCTGCTCCACTGCCCCTTCACTTCATTGCAAACATTTCTGCTCTGCAGATGAGTTGACTTTCTTTGACAAAACGGTTCAGCCAAGCAAAAGCATTCAACGAAGAAAAAAAATGAAATTACTGCGGCTTGTGACTAAGCTGTGAGCCCCTGGTAAATGGAGTGGAGTAATGTATTGACTCTGGGCGCTGTATGAGGAGTCATTAGGCTGAGCATTTGGTGTGTCTTGAGGAAATGAATGTGCCACGTTTAGAGAATAAATGTCCCTTATGCTGGATTTTCTGTTTTTATGACTTCTCAGTACTTTTGCTCAGGTCTTAGTTGAATTGCACATACTGTTAAGAGTTTTTGGAAGATAAATCAAAGATCTGCCTGGCATTCTGATGGGTGCTCACCCTCTCTCTTTCTGAGCCCTTGTTCTGCCAAATCCCAGGTCAGCTGTGCAAGTGCCAAAAGATCGATCCTTCCCAGGTCGTCCCTGGCTTCCCTCAGTCAGGGAGGCATGGTCAGGAGTGAGAGCTCCTGCACGCTGGAGGACAGAGGAAGAGAGCAGCAGGAAACAAGAACAGCTCCAACAACTGTCCTCATCACAGCTGCCGTAGTATGACGAATGCCTGACTAGGAGGCAGGGGATCAATCTAAGACATGCTGCTGCTGTTGCTCTTCATGCTTTGCACATGTCTGTGTTTTGCACAAGCGGACAGAGTGCCTGGTGTGTCTCATTTCCTAGTCCCAGCGATGGAGATCTGGTCTGCATAGATAAGGAACTACTGTACATAGGAGAAACAATTAGCATATTGCATTAATGAAACAACTGATGAAAACAGAAGAGTTGTTCGTGGTGTGATGAACAATCCTCCTATGTCTTAGGCTGGACGAACAGTCCCTGTCCTCGGAGAACTTCAGCTGTCACTGTGTTGGGGAGCTGTTTGTTTCTTTTCTCTTAATTTAGTTTGAAGTGTCTGGGCTGAGACATTGTCAAGGGCAGGCCCACAGTGGCAGTGACCTGGGGGTTAATTAAAAACGACAAGCTGTTTGAGATCCCTCTCCTTTTCACTGCTTGAAAAAATCTGCTTAGATGTCTTCTTTGCTGTGGGCACCTGTGTGTCACTGAATACCAATTTCAGCTCCATTTTACAGACACACGCACTCCCTTCAAAGAGCAAGGAAGCTGGTGGAGTGTCGTTATCAGAAATAAGAGACCAGCTAAAATGAAATGTCTTTCTACCACTTTGCATGACCATTCCTAACACTACAATAACATGCGATCAGTGAAGAATGAAGTAAAGTGTATCTGAGATAATACAAACAATCATCATCATCACCACTGAGCAGGAGAGGTTAAGTCACAATACAATTATATCACATAAATCCTGTTCTATTCCCTTCCTCCACAGCAGCAGTCCATGCACAGCCAGTACTGAAAATCTAGACTTTCATACAAGGTTGCACAGATCATATCAGAGATGTTTTGTTTTTATTCCAATGTCCTATCTTACCAAACTGTGCATGACCACAACTCTACAGATACAATGAAGAGAGAAGTTATTAAAGTAGAAGTAAGGGCAGGCTTTGTATTTTGAAATGGGTGTTAATAACACAAGAGACAGACCCAAATCTGTAACGAAATTCCATGAGCATGGAAAACCTGTCCTGAAGGGAGGAGTTTTGTATTTGTGTGTCACCTGGAATTTGAATCCACAACCTTCCAGACATGAGTCTAGAAACTCCACACTGCTGCACCCATAAGCAAAAATATATGGTTTAAAAGAACTGCTAAATAGTTATATTTGCCCAGTCTCCACTAGGTAATATAAAAATACAATATCCATCCAAACATTCATTTTCTTACCATTTCTTGCAATTATGGCTGCCCCTGGCAAGCAACGGGCACAAGCTGGGTGCACTCTGGGTGGGACACCAACCCACCCCAGGGAACAAAATACAATATCCAAAGGATCTGGGGGCTGATTAGTGTTATTGTGGTCTAAATCATTCCCTCACAGAAAGATTCATAAACTCTGAAACACACAGACACAAATAAACACAGAGAGACACAACCACACACACATACACATTCACATACAGGAAAACAGACAGGGACAGACCCAGACACAGAGAAACACACTCAGACACACAAAACACACATTCAACGACACAGAGCTGCACAAGTGCTCATTAAGTGATGGACGATAACTATAGGAAGACTGTTCTATGGACAGGAGGGTCCTCTGCTGGTGATGAGAAAATATTACAGTTTTAACTACTGAAATTATTATTATTATTATTATTATTATTATTATTATTATTATTATTACACCATTTCACCAGTAGAAATAAGGAGAGAGTCTCGATTGTTCAAACCCAGAGTGGAATCTTGGTGTCACACTTGGGTTAACAGCCCTACTCTTAAGAACAGCAAAAGGATCTTTGATGACCAATTAATCAGGACCTTTGTTTTATATCTCACTTGAAAGATGGTACTTCTTACAGCATTGTGTCCCCTGTTAAGTTACTGGGGCATGGGTTTGGATATGCCTGATCCAGAGGAAGGTGTGCCACCTACCGTTCCACCGACACCACTTATAGCAGC